GTTATTTCATTTTTTTTTTTTTTTCTAATTTTGTCCGTTAATATAGTTAGTGCAGTATATGGAAATATATGTTTAGAAAATACGAGAAATTTGTTTAGGATAATTAGTGAGTAATACTCTCACTATATAGCTTGACTATTGATATTGTCAAGTAAATATTATATTTGTGTGTACTAATATGCATGACAATTGTAATTTAATATGCATTTACATAAAACATTATGTGAAACAATTTTTGACCGGGCCATCGATCGTGTTATATAGTGCGGTGGGTAAAAAAGAACAACACCTATATTTTTGGAGCGCAATCGTGTTGCGTTTTTCGAGGGTAAAAAGGTCAAACGGACGCAATCATGGTACACCCTATTTTTTCACATATTGTTGTCGGACGTCTAAAAATAATTTCATATTACTCCCCGGAATAAAATCGCCGACCCTCCTCCGGGATTCCGTCAAAAACCCAACCCTACCGAACTCTAAGAGTTAATAATATAACTTAAATATTATATAATACTATTCTACTTTACTCTGAGATTCCGAACAAAGTCACTCGAGGTGCAGAGTAACATTATGTATTGCGGAGCCGAGATTGTTTGCTATCCCGGGGTGCGGGTGCGATAGTTTCCGCCATCGCGCCACCGTTACTGAGAACCGAACTCCTGGATTTATGGTTTGGAAAAAAGAGCAGATACTGCTGATGGATATGCCATCGTTATGAATAGCAAATTTAAAAGTTAGTAGGATGCATACGTGTATTTAATTTATAAAATATCTGTTTATCTGTTTACCACAGAGCATTTTATCTGCGGTAAACATTTGCTAACGAAATACGATTCTGAACGAAGTTCCGTTACACCGTACATGCGTTTTGAAATGCCGTAAATGGTGATTTATTCCAAAAATCAATTTATAGGCATTTTCATTTGTTTCACATTAAGACAATTATGCAATTTATTGCGTTAGAAACATAGACTACGCCTATAGCCTATTGATAACATATTTTATTATTTTGGAAATAAAAATATTACGATATTTATTTTAATCATATCTTAATTAACAATCCACACTTCTTAAGAAATATCATGAATAAATCGGCGCATTTTTACTTACTAAAACCTGTACAAAAAAAAAAATAATCATAGTGATTAAACTAATAATTTCTTCGCTGTATACTCAGAAACTTAAATAAAATATACATCTACAAATTTCGTCTGCATGAATATTATTATTGAGTGTTTATTTATTTATTTAATTTTTTTTTTTTGTGAATTTTCAACTATTGAAATTTGTTTCGAAAATCGTGTGCGAAAATGTGAGAAGCGAATGGGATTAGGTCAAGTTCAATAATTGCAATTAACGTTAATTTGTTGCAAGTCTCGTAGTCCCTCTTCTTTTATTTTTTCAGTATATATTCAATTAAATATATTAATATTATATCGTCGCAGCGATCGTCAAGAAATTCATAAACTCGTCACGTAAATTATTGACGAAAACTCGAAGGCGAGTTCTTAAATTTTTAAATTGAATTATTATTGCTGTGTAACACGATTAACCATCGCGCGAAAACCGCATTGTCAAAATTGAATTTGCAAAATTGTATCAAGTAATAAAAACACAATGTTCGTCTTGTACACATTTTTATGTTGGTCAGGTAAATTAATAATTAATAGTGCATAGAAATTTTAAATCTCCTGAGATAACTTTATTAGATTATTTTACGACCGCGCGAGAACTAAAAATATGACAGTTGTTAATATTTTTTTTATTGCATTCATAAAAACCACCGGAAAATTCGACAACCAAATACCGCTCGCCTTCGGATATTTATGTTCTTATAAAACGTTCGAAAAATTACGGATATAAGATTTCTTGTTTTCAAATTGTTAATATACAAGAAATAAAAGCACACATCATAGTAAAATCAATATATTCTTCGCTGCACTCAGAATCTAAAATATGTCGATCAATTATGGTCAAAACTTCAAAGGTTTTCTGATATGTGTTAATCTTTATGTTTAATACCAGATCTGTAATATGTGTTCTACGTTCTATCTAGATAACCAGAAAAAAAGTCAGGAATAAATCCTTATAAAAAAAAGGTCTAAGAAGAAAAAACTAAATTTTAATAAAAATATGTTTTTCTTTTTAATACAAATTAATATCGTAAGTGCATATAGCTCATATAAGTCATTAGCATTGTCGTTAACAAAGTTTTATTGTGAGTTTTAGCGAAGTTAATTGATATTGGTCACAATGTATACGTCAGAAAGTCAAAAAGTCTGACAAAACTCGGAAATTCCAAAAAAAATAATAATAATAATCTGGTGAAAAAATCAGATTTTTCTTTTTTGGTTCTTCCTCTCTCTAAATCCGTTCTAAAATATCAAAATATCAACCTAGTAGCCAAATCTCAATACATTTGTTTCACATTATACAAATACCTGTCGTTCTGTTCGCTCGAAGACAAATCGGCCCACTTCAGGCGTATACAGTATATAATCGCAATAAAATAATACACGTACAAACAATCCGGCGTTTTTATTGCGTCGTGATTTTCGAAAAATAAAAATTTGCAAACGGACAATAATATAATAATGTGCATAAAATAGCTCGCGGATTATTATTACAGTCGGTCGTTATTATCGTATTCTCGTAATAATGTACGGGGACAAGCAGAACGTTGTATGAAAACGTATTCCGCTATTATTATTGTGTAAAAAATAAAATATGCTGACAAAACGCGTTTTCCATTACACTATTATTATTATTATTATTATTATTCGAGTCGCGGATATCCCGTTTGTCGAAAAACGGTCGATTCTAAACGTAATAACTTCACCTTAGACAAACGTTTTGTTTTTTCATTTAATACTCGTCACGTCACAAACACAAATATTTTAATGACGGTTTGTACCTTTTTTATAACTCAAACAATCGGCACAAAACCATTGCCAGAGAAAAACGATTCCGAGCGACGTTCGGTTTTACATTTCTATTGAAATTAAAATAATTTTTATGATTCTCGTCGACATAATTTGATAGTTCACATCACCGATTAAATTTTAACCCGCTACATTATAACGAAACAATCATGTTTACTTAATAAAAATGTTTTACTTATATATGCTTACGAACAATAAAATAAAATTATAAAGTTTAAGACGATCCTTGAAAATGTATGCCCATTTTCAGTGGCTAGGGGTCTAGGGGTTCGGACCGCCCTCCGCCCTCCCCAGACAACAATATAATTTCAATGAAATATCAGTACAACGAAGCGCCTATCGATATAGATACCATTTAGAATACATATGATTTTTCACGACCCCTCAAACACAGAAAAATTTTGAAAATCCGCCACCTATATTTCGCTCTAATTACCTAGGATCGCGATGATCGCGGAAACGCCATCGCGTACATTTAACATAATTTTGCATGTTTTTGTCTTTACGCAGGGTGTCACGAAAAGTCGATCAACGATAACGAGGCCGAGACCGAGTGCGGTGTCGGCGGCGGCGGTGCGGCGGCGAGTTACGGCGACAGTAACTGCAGCACGAGCACCCTGAGTAGTTGCGGCAGCAAGGGCAACTGTTGTGCTTACCGAAACACCAACAGCTGCAACCACGGCAACAGCAGTAGAAGTTGTTCGCCGCTGTTGGATGCGACGACGACGGCCGACGTGATGTCGTACGACCGCGACGGCAGCAGCTGCGGCGTAGTCGTCGACGAATGGCAACTGGTGCAGGCGGACTTTGTGGACGTGCCGCCGGGCGGCGACACTTCCATCCGGTGCGTCGTCCAACCGCCGCCCGACATGTTGGCCACGCACGTTTGCGTCGAAGTCGGTCTGGTCAAATCTCCGGCCGTCGCCGATCCGGCCGAACCGGAAATGCCGACCATCGTCGTGTGCAACGTCGACGTGGAACCGTGCCGGAAGCCGCTGCAGCTGCAGACCGCTCCACCTCCTCCGCACGTGACGCCGGAGCCGTGTGACAAGTTTTCGCCGGCCGTGGCCGTCCCCGGTGACGACGGCGACGGCGAAGACGACGTGCTGGACAGGATATCGCAGGACTTGGACTACCTGCTGAACCGTAAGTGCGCCGCCGGCGGCGGTGACTTGACGGAAGTCGGCGGCGGCGTGGCGGCGGGCCAAGCCGATCGAAACTCGACGCGCGGCAAAAAACCACTGTTACACAATAACCGGCAGTAGGACGTCCGAAACGATTCGGTCGGGTCGGTCGGTTAGAGGGGGGGGGGCTGTTATTGTTATCTAACCGAACCTGGCCGTGTTACCCCGTTTTATACTGCGTGGAAAAAAAAACGACGAGACCGTCCCGTACGGACAGTTTCGTCGGACGTTGTACAAAATATAATATTATACATATACACCTATTACTGTTCCTCGAATTTATATTTTAATTATATCATAAACCCCATCCAACCACTACCCCCTCATCCCCCACCACCCATCTCACGTCATATATTACGTCTTCTATAGATAATTACTTACAAATTACTATAATATTTTTATTTTTTATTTTTAATTTTTTTTTTTTTTTTTTTTTTTTATATATATATATATGAATAAAACGAAAAAAACTGTATTTATATGTCAAACGATAAAAAAAAAAAAAATGAAAGTTCTCAATCGATTATTGTTCTTTTTGCATTGTTTGTTTGCATCTGCACTTCACAGTTTACACACCTGAAACTGTTAATATCAATTGTGATTTTGTTTGTAAATTATTTTATGAATGAAATGTTTTTTTTTTTTTTTTTTTTTTT